AGTTTCTTTCTGTTTTTTTCTCAAGTCCTCTCTATTTTCCTCTTAAGTTTCAATGTACGTGAATAAGGTTTTCCAACCCTAGACAGACGTATACGGTTATATTTATAGGCTTAGGAAAACACAAACCCTAATATGAATTATATTGAGAGAAGGAGAAAGAAAACAACTAAGTCTATACCTAAGTCGGCTATACAAACCGTGACTACCTAAACGAAAACAAAACCCTAATTAAACACTTAATGAAAACAAACAATTAAATTTCAACATAAGCATACATTAATGAAAAACAAAATAATTAAAAACACGTAACTCAATTAAATATAACAATTAATCAAAGAATTTAATTAAATAAAAACAATTAACAAATAGGCAAATAAACAAATAAACAAAGAAAAATGCAATAAAATAATTAATTAAAATGTCGAAACTATCCTTTTAAAATTATGGGTATTACAACCACAGATCCAAAGACTTCTCGTCTAGCTAATACAATTAGCTCTGCTTGTATTTTTCTTTTCCATGATGGCCAATCATGTCTTCGTCGACTTTCTTCGACATTCTAAGCACAATTGTATAAAAGAATAGAGTGTCCATGGCAATTTCATTTATGTTCTATTTCTTTTCATAATTTACTGTAATCTCATTATTTTCAGATACCTTTGAAATATTATCATAGTTAGCTAACTTGACCTCGTCAAGTCCTTGGGCCTCGTCAGGTCCCTTGGGCCTCGTTAGGTCCCTTTGCCAGTTGGTCTTTTCAAGAGTACCCTTTTCATCATTCATCTTGCTCTTTGGCAGGTGGCTCATTTTATCATTTTTAGCTAACTGGGTCTCTACAGGAGCACCCATTTCATCATGCTCCTTTACATGTACCACATTAAGTGCCTCTGCCTCATCAAGGGCTACTTTATCATTGTTAGCTAATTGGGCCTTATCAGGAGTGCCCATGTTATTATGCACTTATTCTAGTGCTTACATCTTTCATGGAACATAATTTTTTGCACCGACTGGTCTGTCACGCATGAAACGTGCTTTAGATGCATTTGCAACACTAACAAACTATCCCATCGGGATGTCAACTCATGGTGACATTGTTTTTTCAATTGGCACATATAATATTATTACTTTCTTTGTGTCATTGAATGCATCTGATAATTGATTTGCGATAATTTGCAAATGAATGATCCTTTGATCTTCTTATTCATATTTTCCTTTAAACTTTTTGCGTATATAGATAATATCAAAGCATTCTAGTAATATCATTTTGCATTTCTGATCTTACCTTTTCTCCTCCTCAAAATGGGATTACACTCTTATTCAAATGATAATCAGCACATCGTGCTATAAAGACATCGCATATCAGGAGTTCAACTTATTTCATAAACAAATAGGAGAATAATTTTAGCAAATGAAATACTGTGAGTATAAAATAAGAAAACATGCTTTTGGCGGTATAATAATACTCATAAGATAATAAAATTTTTCTAGTATATATTTATTATATTAGGTAATGGAAGTGAGATAGGTATATTCCATATAACCTTCATCTTGTTGGAGAAAATAATTTCGATAGCGAAGGATTGCGTATGATGGTCTTACTATTCACAAGACATATATCCTTACCTTAAGCTATAGTTTAGGTCCCTGCCTACTTAAATATGCAAACTTCATATTTTGATAACTTAAAATAAACTTTGACATATAAAATAAAACATGCTTAATAACAAAGATGAGAAAAGGAAGTATAAATAAGATGTGTGTATATTACTAATTAATATATTAGTTTACATCTTAAAAATTGAAATATTCACAAGAATCATATAAAATTCATTTCTATCTTTGTCTCCTTTTATTGGATTGTGACTTGGTAAAGATCAGTTAAATGCTTTGAAACATACGGTAAGAATTAGATAAATGGTTAGAAGCATATTATACAACCTTTTTATCTTCGATGTTACATTGATAATAAGTAATTTCATATTAATCAAATTTATCATTGATACACTGATCAATTTCGCATCAATAACAAGTAACATGTGCCATAGGGGTTGAAGCAAATTCTCCCATTTGCTTGTTCATTTTATTTTGGTTCTACCTTTAGGGATACAATGTGAAATTCAAATTATAACCTCCATGGTGTTGGTAGTTAATTCTGCCATGATTATACCCACAACCACATCTATGACTGCGAAATGAGTCCATATTCGCTTTAGAGATCGTTTTCGATCTGATTAGACTGAAAATTTCACAATAAAAGCTATTTATGTTGTTCTGACATAAGCAGGCATGATATCAATTTTAAATATTTCATAAATCTACACACTTAACGTGATTAGTAGAGTATCACTTGTTCAATATATATTTTTTTACATAAAAGATTTCATCAATCTACGCCCTTAACGTGAAAAGTGAAGTATCTCTTTATTAATATATACCCTTCAATAATATTTTTCTCCACATCAAATATTTCATAAATATACACACTCGACGTGATAAGTAAATGATGTTCTTTTCAACATATATTCATGAGTAATTATTTATTCACATTATCTTAATATAGCTAATTATAAACAAGGCCGAATTATATTCGCTAATAATTGCATAATCTTGCAACCGTAGTTGCATTTCTTATATATTGCACTTTTGGGATGATCACGATACATTAGATGATCGTATCTCTTCTTCAAATTTTGGCACAAAATAAGTAGGTTTCTTACCGTGAGGTATTCAATTTCAATTTCTCATTGATATAGTGGCAAAGGAAAATCATTACTTTTGTATGGTCCTTCAGGGACACTTGATTTTCTCTTTTTATATTTTCAAAAATTGATCTGTTCAAGAATCAATGACAAATAATTCTTCAATGACAACAAATTCAAGTTTTGTATAGTTCGACAAAAACATATAGAGTAATTAAATAAACATATATTCATTGTCGAATTTAGTAATACATAAAACGCAATCACTATGAAATTATTGTAGCACCACAATCATTAAATTATAAAGGCGGTAAACCAAACTATAAATAATAAAGATGGTAAATTTAAGAATTCATTAAATAATAAAGGCGGTAAAACCGACTATAGTTAATAAATAATAAAGGCGATAAAACCGTCCATAGTTAATAAATCATTAAATAATAATAGATCATTAAATAATAAAGGCGGTAGAACTGATCATAGTTAGTAGATCATTAAATAATAAAGGCAGTAGAACCGACCATAGTTTGAGCACATATATCATTTAAGTGGACAAATTAATTTCATGAACAATAATCAATAATTAAAATTTTTTTCAGTAAATCAAGCAAATCCAACAATCTATCAAAATTAATATCACAAGAGAGATATAGAATTGAGATAGAAAGAGGGATAACATCTTATGAATATATATATATATATATATATATATATATATATATATATATATTAAGAGAGAGAAAGTAAAAGAGCTTTCAACATATTAAGAGAGAAAAAGTATAAAAGGGAGAAAGTAATAGAGCTTTTTATTGATTTGCTTTTCACAAGTGTATATTAAAGCAATAGTTAAATACATATATACTCCCTCTGTCCCACAATACATGTTCTGCATGGAGAATCCAATTTTTTATAATAGCGGTGGGGAATCCAACTTTTTATAATAGTTGAGTTTTAATAGTTTTTTATTGTATTGATAAGAATGAAGTTTTAAATATGTCTTTATTAAAAGACAAAATAATGCTCTGTAATTAGTGCAATGCAGTTATTTAGTTAAAATGATAATTTAAAAATATTATAAAAAATAGTACATTTAATTTTAAAATGAGACATTTTTTGAGACATTCCAAAATAGAAAGATGAATAACTAGGACGGAGGGAGGAGAGAGTATATATATAAACATAGGCATAAAAGAGGCTTTCAATGTAAGCCATTAATGGACTTTCTCCCCACGCCAAGTATATATCTTTGAAGTCTTTGTATGTGGATCTCACTTAATATAACACAAAAACTTTTTTCCCTGAATTGTTTTTTGTAATTTATTTTTGTACTGGCAATGTTTAACACTATACTAATTATTCTTATGCTATAATATAAGATTAACCGGCTTATAATTTTTTTTTTTTTATATATATATATATATAAACTGCTAAATAATGAAGCTTCTTAGAAGCTTGATCCTTTATGTCATAATATTGAGTCTTGCCTTTTAAATTTTCATAGTTAGTGAGCAGTGTTGTTTTCGAACGATTGGGGCACAAGGCAATTGATTCCCAACTTTATTGTGAATTCCGTTTCATGATAATAAAATGTCCTCTGTTAATTTCAATATTTACTTTGAGTTATGCATGCATTATACAAAATTTGAACACAAGTCACAATAAAAAGTAAATAGTAGAACAGATTATTAATGTAAAATAAATAGATTTCGAGATTGAAGTTAGGCTATGTTTGGTGTGAGTGAATGAAATCAAATGAAGGTAAAATAGAATGCATTTGTTTTCATTCTGTTGTTTGGTGTGTCACATTAAAAGTGAAATTGCCATTCCTAGGGAATGCACATTCCATCAAAAAGGTAAAATGCCCATTCTTATTCTTTTTCTTGAGAGGTGAAATGACCATTCCACTCCTACAAAAAATTAATAAAGTAATAAAATAATTTAAAGAGATAATTCACGCATACACACACACTATATATATATATATATATATATACCGTTTGTTTTCTCTCTCCGATTTACACAAACAAGGATGAAACAAAAATAGTGTAATTGAACTTTTATGAACTTTTGTGCTTTGTTATGCAATTTTCTCATTCATTATCTAGCCCTTTTTCTTTTTTCTCGCCGAAAAAGATGATCGAAAAATTATCTTTCATTTTTTTTTTTACAGTCTGTCAAAAAACCGTCTGTTTCTCTCTATCTCGTCTATTTTCTCTCTCTATTATCTATTTCCCTCCCTCTGTTTCTCTCTATCTCGTCTATTTTCTCTCTCTATTATCTATTTCCCTTTTACTTTTGCAAATTAAGTTTTTTAATTAATTTTTTTTACTAATAATAAAATATAATTTAAAGAAACAATATAAATTCATTCTATTCCAACTTTTTTACCAAACATAAGAAGTGAGAATGAGATTATATTTTTACACCTTCCATGTTTGCAATCAAACGGTATAATGAAAATCATTATTCCCATTTCATTCTCATTCCATTCCCCCCTTCGTTCTCATTCCATTCCAATTCATTCCACCACACATATAAATTCATTCTATTCCAACTTTTTTACCAAAAATAAGAAGTGAGAATGAGATTATATTTTTACACCTTCCATGTTTGCAATCAAACGGTATAATGAAAATCATTATTCCCATTTCATTCTCATTCCATTCCCCCCTTCGTTCTCATTCCATTCCAATTCATTCCACCACACCAAACATGCCCTTAAAGTTACAAAACACTGAAACAAACACCCAATCAAAGTAAAATGTACTGTTGGTCAAACTGAGAGGACTGTCTCAATGTATCGATAGACCCTGCAGCTTTTGAACTGCCTAAGCTGCTGCGAAGAAGAACCAGGATGGTGTACTACATCATGAAACTTCTTAAATGTGTCATCCTTAATGTTATAGGAGATGATCATATTCGTGCCCACAAATAACACCAAAAACACATCTGGTTCATCTTTTCCATGAATTAAGCCAAGCACAGACATTGTTCGCAGTGCGATCATCTCCTGTGATACAAAATTAAGCATCATGTTAAAGTTAAGTCGATACTTCAATGACCACTTGGAGTAATCTCTTTCCATCTCTAAGACTTCAATATCAAATATGGTGCCAAAAACACTGCGCCCAGTAAGATACAAATGACCTCTGGACTCCCCGAAATGCCAGAATCCATCAATTTCCGGAAATGGTGAAGATGGCATTGGAAACACTCTTTCTTGTTCAACATCAAAGTATTTGGAAGGTTCATCTGTCCAGAAGGAAATCCAATGTATTGAACCATTGCAATAGACTCCATTATCCAAGTCCACTGAGGAGAAAGAATAATGATCACCAGAGGGTCTACGCCATGCATTGGTTTCTGACGAATAAACATGAATTTGATACAAACGATGGCCCTTGTGTAATTTCTTGAGCAAAACAACTTTGTAATGAATTGATTTGGAAGGATCAAAGGCCAAATATAGAGGGTCAGCAGGATATGTAGCAAGGGAAAAGGGCCAGGGAAGTGTTTGGGATTGCTTGGTGGTAGGATTGTAAACTTGGTAAGATCGGGACAGGGAAGTGTTTGGATTTAAACACAAGAGTAGAAAACCATTGCAGGAGTGTATGATTCTAATATCCACAGTATACATATTGGGAAAGCGAGCTAAAGACTTGCTTTTTCCAACATCATCTGTGTCTTTGAGAGGAATGTATTTGATTTGCTTTCGGGATACAGAGGTGAAGAAAAGACCGGAGATTTTGGGATCATGGGAATGTCGTTGACGCTGTTGCCAGAGGAGAGGGAAAGTAGGACCGGAGATTAGAGAGAACCATGCTTTCGAGACGGACTTGAATCGAACCACAGATTTCAGCGGCAGAAGCACAAGGATCTCCACCACCAGGTCCTCGTTACTGCCAATGATTTCAGCAGCGGCAGACCGTCTCTGTGCATTCCGGCACCTTTTAATCCTAAAACCCATCAACAAAGTTAAATCACTCCAGACTTGTTCCTCTCTTTGGATGGTTCTAATTAAACACTTATATAGGCAAAATAACAAATCCTAATACAATTCGGTAAAGTGTGAAATCCTAATAGAACACTGACAACCTAAAAATAAAAATAAAAATAAAAATAAATTTATTTAAACTATAACACAATAAATAATTATTTGTATTTGAATAACAAAGACAAGATTTAGCCTATTAGAATGCAAACCTCATCAAACAGAGACACCGACTGCCAAGACGATCGGAAGCAGATCTGATCAGAACACCAGGCAGGTAGAAAGCTGTCGTCTTTGCTCGCGTCTGGGGAGAAACGGAGACACCGCCGGCGAATCTGATCGGAATAGACAATCGGTATGTATAAAAAACCGGCACCGGCAGATCTGATCAGAACATATTTGAAACGGCGAGACAGGTAGAACACAATTGAAACGGCGAGACAGATAGAAAGTTGTGATCTTTGCTCTCGAGTCTGTGGAGAAACAGAGAGAACCCCGGCGAAGCTGATCGGAATGAACAATCGGTAAGTATAAAACCGGCAGATCTGTTCAGAACAGCGAACGGCGAGAAAGGTAGAAAGTTGTGGTCTTTGCTCGTGTCTGTGGAGAAACAGAGAGAACGCCAGCGAAGATGATCGGAACAGACAATACAGCAACCGGCAGATCTGACCAGAACAGAAGAGCGTGGGGTCGGTGGTGGCTGAGATATTGTCAAGGATTACAATTTGAAAACCTATATGAATTGGTACTTATTGATATGGAATATATATTATACACATCAGTTGCGAATCAAAGGGATACACCAGTTGCGAATCACAAGGGAGGGAGCCACTGGATTCGATCCAACGGCCCAAAAACAAAACCATCTCAAATTAATTAGATTCCAGTTTTGGCAAGTACAAAACACAACTGTCCTCAGTCTCAATTTAATTAGGCAAAAATATAAAGAAAATTCCGAGCTATTTTAAAATTATAGTAAACCCCCTTGGATTATTGCTTATTACATATCACACCCTAAACTATCATAAAGTTACAATGTGACCCATTTGGTGACCGGACGTCAATTTGTGGTTATCATATAGTCAAAATTACTTATTTATCCTCACCAATTTATTTATTGTAAAAGTTATAAGATATCATAATTGTAAAACACCAATAATGTACTTCGGGAGGGCGTCTTGCAATTAACCTATAATTTATATTATTTATTTTTTAAACTTTTGCCTAATAATAATTGTTGGAGAAAAAATTCACGCGGCCCGATACGACACCGTTTTCTTACAAAGAAGAAAGTAAAAGATCGATGAATCTTGATGGTACCGGTGTAGTGCCTACCAAGAGCTCTCCGACGATCAAGTCAGTCACCGGAGGTCTAAAAGAAAGGCAGAAATTTAATAATCGTTTTTTGTTATACCTGATTGACTGGTAGGATCCCATTCTTATAGCCGCTCTCCCTCAATTCGTTTGTGAGATCAGAGAAGATTCGTTTGTTGCCAGATTTGTTAGGGATATGATCTACCCCTTTGAACTTTAAATTGTGCCAATGTTATCCTTACCCTGTTGAACCACATCATTTTATCTCTTGTTTAAATTCTTTTTATCAGTTGCCCCTCATTCCCAAGCTTGCTCGTCTGGCTTTGGGAATGTAAAATTTATTTATTTATTTATTTACCTTCGAGTACTGTTCCCGCGGGTATATTTTATTATTTTTTTAATTTTTTTTTTTACCCTTGGGCACTCTTCCCTTGGGTAATGTTCCCTTGGGTACTTTTCCCGCGAGTAAGATTTTATTTTTATTTCTATTTTTATTTTTTTGTACCTATACACACAAATTTTGTAAGTCTGCAAATACGAAACAAAATAGGGGCAAATATAATATTTTATTAATTGATAATGATGGAGTAAAATCCTTTGTAATATTCTTTACAAAAAGAAAGGTCATTTGATTCGATCTCCTTTTTGATTGGTTTGATCCAAGGGCTGCACGAACTTGATTTTGAATTACCGTGGAATTTGGATGAAGAACGACACGTCTTTTGATGTGTTTGATGTTCTTCACTTTTGGGTTTGGATTATGAATTTGTGTCTCTGACTTCTTAGTCTCTGGATTTCTGGACTTCTGAATTCTAAATTTGTGTACCTCTTTCTTTTTCCTCCATACCTCTATTTATAGGTTTCTTGGATTAATAGGATGATGACACGTGTCATCTCCTGATAAAGATAAAATCATAACTGGACCGGGCCGGTTATATTATGATAATTATCCTTAAAAATAATTATTCCAAATATATTTTATTAGGAATAATTATCTTTCCATTTAATCATTTGGGCTGAGCTAATTAAATAATTTAAGTGGACCAAGCTTGGACTAATTAAATAATTTAATTAAACATTAGGCCCATATTTAATAGGTCCATTTGTCAAAACCAAAGCCCATTAAAATTTTAGTATCTATATGCCCTAAGTTTGACAGGACTTGTTTCTTTTTTCAAGTGGGACTTGAAGTATCCAACTTTCTTTTATTGTTTCCTTTCCTCTCCAACTTTGGATTGTAAGATTTCTTCTTTTCCTTTTTTATCCAACTTTGGATTGGAATTTTCACTTTCCTATTTGAACTAAATTATACAAATCCTAATACAAATAGGATGTATTTTGATGTCTATATATACCCCCAATATTATAGGGTTTGACATCAATTCCAATAATCTCTTAAGACTTGTCAGATTATAAATTCTGAAGACTGTGTTGGATTGCGGCCTCTGCTTGAACACACACAAATAATTGGGATGTCATTTTTTTTTTTTTTTTTTTTTTTTTTAGGGCTTGATTGGGTGGCCAACTGGAGCAGAAATTGAAATCTTCTTTCTAGACAACACCAATCGAGCTTCAAAATTTGTTTGTTGTTCCATCATGGTGGTATTCAAGTGTTTTATGAAGCAAAAGATGACTATCTTAGAGAGTTAAAATAGTTAACGAGTCTAAGGAACGACATTAAGTGTATATAACTCAGTTCTTGGTCGCAAATGCCATTCAAGTGCCTGATCCTGACAACAAATATTGTTCACCTCATTGGACATGCATGGCCACATGTGAACTCACTAACTTTGGTCTTGATCAGATTAATAAAAAATCTATTGTCTCTGAAGCCTTGATATTAAATTCTTCACTTCATGAGAGAGTTGTTGAGGAAAACCGATTTTCACTCTTGGGTCTCAACGTTCAGACGAAGGAAATATCATGGAGTATTCCCTGTAAACTTTCTGTTGAATTACAATACACCGAACTATATTAGGAGTGGTTAGAAGATATCTTGGCGCATTTCCACGACTTTCTATCAAAACAACAACTATATGGTGCTCTATTCGCCTCCCTATTTTCCTATGATCGCCATGAAGATGTATTCAAAGCATTCCTTGAATGTTGGTGCCCAGCCACTAATACTCTTCATTGTTCTATTGGCGAGCTATCAATTTTCCTTCGAGATCTATATATGCTAGGTAGTCTCCCTCATCAAGGAACAATTTATGATGAAGTTATTCCTTACGCAGACGAACTCTCAAGAGCTAGCAACAACAAAAATTCTCTCCCCTTGAGTTGTCAATACCTATTTTTGGCCTTCCACAGACTTTCCAAGAAGTATAAAAAAGATCAGAATGTGAAGATATCTGACTGGATTAATTTCTGGTTTCAAGGTACATCAAGACATGTCAAACCTTCAAAGAGATCAACAAAAAATAAAATTCAATGTCCTATGAGGACTTAAAACCCGTCTGGTGTGATCCCTCCTCTCCAGCCGATGTCCACCAAAGAAAAGGAAGTATTTATCAACCTTGGTGTAGATGAAGCATTGAGAGGCACCACTTATCTAGCTGTTTTTTTAGCATGTTGGCTCTGCAAATTTACCTTGCCTGCACACCCTAGCAACATGATTCATCCCGGGACTTTCAAGGTTGCAAGCATGTTAGCAGATGGATGGAACATTTATCTTTCCATCTCGGTTTTGGCCAGTATTTACAGAGGCTTGAACAAGATTGTTTCCTCACCAAATTCTGGAAGCTGCTCTGCGATATTTCCTATACACTATGTATTCGGATGGTTGAGTGAATATTTTAGAACTAATTTCACCGTTCCTAATATCAACTATTGGCCTAGAATGACATTATATGCAGGCAAAGGAGGAGTAAGATACTTTAACGATTTTGCAGCACAAAATTTATTCAGATCATGTAAAGGAATAAATTTAACTCATATGGCTAAATGATCTGCAAAACAGCGACTCATTGTGGATAATGGCAATATGATAAAGGCCGACTCTGACACCCTAAAGGTGGATAACAAACCCTTTTCATTGAGTAGCCAAGATTTTAGCCTTATTAAGCACTGAATTTCTCGCGCCGAAAGGTGGAGGGCCCAAACTCTAAGTTAATAATTGAACTTGCTTACAAAAAAAAAAAAAAAAAAAAAGTTGCAAAAGCAAAAAAAAAAAAAAAAAAGTGAGGACTTCTCCCAAAAGGTGAGAAGTGGGAAATGATTAGATGGATGTTGTTTTGATTTGTACCCCAGTTGATTTGAGCTTGTAAGTCCTTAGGGGTGTTTTAACACCTAATGCCCTAAAGCCGTCTAGTTTGAGAGTCATTGACCTAACGCTCGACCTCATGGATCGCTAGAAAGCTTAATAGATCAACACATTGCACTATGCTTCCATCTTTGATTCTTAGGGATAAAAAAAAGAAAAAAGAAAAAAAAAAAAAAAAAAAAAACACCAAATGAAAAGAATAAGCACACCTAGAACAATAAAGCTTTAATAAAAGGTCCACTCTTTGTCTTGATAATCGGTACTAGATTTGTGTGTTAGTTTGAGGGTAAGGATGTGATTATTTCTCTAGTTGGCTTAGATAGCAACATATTTGATACCGATCCACTCAAAAAGGATTCTAGAGTTGTTTTGATTTGCATAATCATTTT